ACACACACACACACACACACCCCGCCTCACTCCTCCCCCAAAGGTTTTCTTTCTTTATCATGTGCACACCTTCACCTCAAAAAGAGGGTTGAGCTTGGCTGTCATGCGGGAGATGTAGGTTCGAATGTCAGATCTGACGGGACGACAATCTTGCATTTTGATTGCTTAGGAAGTGTTTGTAGCTCAGCGTACGCCTTTTTCGAAGTTCCCGTGATTGAAATCCAGCCTCTTTCTTGTGTCGAAAATGGCACTATACACTTCATCTGATGGCGACTATCAGTGAATTATAAAGCTCAGTGAATTTTAAAGCTCAGTGACTCGATTTTCTTTTTAAAAAAATTAAAATAGGGTCAGTGGTCATAAGATCACTCTTGTCTGTGTCATATTTTTTTTCAATTGTTGTAATACTAATAAACTTATGTTCAATAATTGTGCATCTGCTGTGGTAGAAAGTTACTCGAAATTCATAATATCTCCCGGAAAGATTAGATTTTTCAGTTAATCGTCTTCTGTTCCATGTGACAAACAGCACAGGCGTCTTTTTGATTGGTGTATATTATCGAAATTCAAATTCTTAATGTTTAAAAAGCTAGAATAGATGCATAAAGTATTTACAAATGAAAAAAGAATGAAATTTTTTTTCTTCTCTCTTGAGTGATCATTGTGATCATTCGTCGTGTGGAAATGTGAACCCTCTGTAGAATGGTCCTCTTGTTTCAGTTCTGCGATTGACTTCGAGAAGTGGGTGGTTGACAAGTGCTCTGGTGTGGTTTGCACCTTCATTTGCACCCGACACCCATCGTCCTTATCTCATCTTTTTTTTGTATGAAACTCTCTTGTAACACCTCTTGTCGTCACCATTTTTATATGACCTAGATCCATAAGGTTGATACAATTATTAAAAGAATTGAAGTTTTTTGTTCTCTCCTGGAAAATGTTGCCTTTTGGGCTTAGAACGTTTTAACAGCTTGCAATTGTAATAAAAATTAATGTTCCAGTCCAACGTGAAAGGCAAAGACCCTCAAGTAATAATTTCGTCGAAGTCAGTCAGTGTTGCTCATCACAGAGAGGGAGACAACTCATTTACTGAATCAAAAGTATCTAAGTATTTCAGTGATTGCCTACCTTTAATTAATCGATCTTTCGTAAACTTGGTGAATGTACACGTACAAAAATGCACACGCACGCACGCGCGCGCACACACACACACACACAC